GACTCTGTGAAAAAGAGAAAATGGAAGCAGAGCCTAGGTACAAATAGAAACAGTGTCAGAACTAGGAGATGGTAATGAAGTTGAAAACCAGCCAGGCTCCAGAGTCCAAGGCTCCTGGTCAGCACATGAACACTGCTTGACTTGCAAAAGCAGGTCTTCAAAGGCCCAATGAGCCAAAGAAAAATAATGTCCACTATGACTTCTGTGTCTCAGGCTATTGGGGTGTCTTGGCTCATACTTCACAGAGTTTTATACAGCTGAGGCTTTTCCTGGGGAGCCGATATAATTGGATGCCGTGTCTCTGGCCTCTACCACTAATTGGGAATAGCTTGGCCCTCTCGGAAGTCACAGAGCACAGCTGCCAGTTCACTGAAATGAGATGGACAATTCCTTATGATGAGTGCCCTCCATTTAAAGACCCTCCCCAAAGCTACTTTTTATTTTGTTCATGCAATTTCACATTTTAATGACTAGAAAAATAGCAAAACACCAGGGGCAATGGAAATGGGAAGAGATACCTTGACAGCCTGGTATCATCATCTGTCAAACTATAGAAATTCTAGTGGCAGAGGCTGCCATCTTGAATTCTGTGAGACCTCATGGGGTGCCCCCCCGCCCGCCAATTTGTGAATCTGTTCTCTCACACTTTCAGTCTCCTCTGTTGATACTGGAGTTTCCAGGCTGGGCTAACCAAGATGCTTGAACTTCACTTTAGAAAAAGTCAAATCGGAAGCAACTGTCAGAAAAGAATATCCTCTAAGGTACACCTTGAGCAGCCAAAAATAAGACAAAATCCAAAATACTTTACTTCCTAACGGCAGTGGTGTAGTCATTTTAGCTGGCTTTATGTATTACAGAGTGATGAATAGTCTCCACTGTTTTCAAGTGATCTTTACTCTATTGCCGGGTGGGGTTGCCTTTTATCAAGAAACACAATGGGTCTATAAAGCAGCGCTGAGCCAGTCAGACAGAAGGTCCACACCTGCAACCTTCTTCCACTGGCCTGGAGATCATTTCCATACAGCTCAGTAAAAGTGCCGATACCCTGGGCAAGGGGCCAGCGAGGACTCAGAGCATTCAACATGTTGCTGGCTTCTTCCATTTCCTAAATCACCACACATACAACAAACACTCAGTGCTAAAGAAAAGTAAAAATAAAAATAAGGAGGTTTTCCCCTTCCTTCCTTCCTCTTAAAAGGAAAGCAGAGACAGGTTGTTTGGATGGTAAACATGGATACTTAAGCATATAGAAGTGCAGGAACTTTAGAAGGTATGTTTCTGTATGGAAACACTGCACACCTTTAGGTGTGCATAGCTGGTTAAGTCTGAAAGTACATCCAGCTGTTAATGGAGAAGGAAACAAGGGCAGGACATAGCCCTCTGACGTGTGTGTGTGTGTGTGTGTGTGTGTGTTCCTGCTGTGAATTGTAAGAAGAATAAAAGCAAACATTGTAGCAATCAAACAAGATTGTACAAGGCAACAGTACATTTCATGTTTTGCACACAGTGCTGTTTGCTTAGGAAAATAGCCATCCCTGTCCAGAATGCAAATGTACCCGTGGCTAGCCTCAACTGAATTCAGTATTGACTTTTAATCCAGTAGCTAAAAATCCCCCAGACAACATTTTTTTAAAAATCATCATGTTACATACACATTTTAGCTCCTAATTTTAATCTTATAAACATTCTCATTGAAGTAGGATGAAATCACCTTATGCCTTTCACATTGGGACCCAAACACAAAGGTGAAATGAAATGTGATTTTAGAAACAAACTGAAGACAAGAAATGGTGTCATTTTTAAATAAAGCATTATGCAAGATAAAGGGAGACAGAGTATCTCAAATGCCACAGTGGCCTTTCAATTTGAATCCCATGTGTATCCACAAATCACATGGACTAAGATAGCTAATTAATAATCAGGCAGGATTCATTGGGCAAAAGCTCTGTGCAGGGTCCAAAGTTGGAGACTTCAGATCATTACCAATAATCACTCCTTACCCTTTTCTTTATAATACTTTAATGGATGTACTTCATATACATACCTTCATAAGGCCACCAATTAATGATAAAGTTATATTTAAGTTCATTTTGCTTATTAATTTATTATTATTATTAAGACCAGAAAAAGAATCATTTTATCCAGTAGGTTATTATCTAACTAAACCTGGCCATTTTGTCTGAGAAGAGAATATTGACTTATACCAGCCTCAAGTAGTAACAACCAATATAAAAGGGCAAAAATACACCCCAAAACAAAACAAAACAAAAAACCGACATAAAAATTACACACTGAAGGCTTAGCCAAAATGATCTTTAAGGAGGGGGGGGCAGGATAGAACTGGAGGACTTTATGCTAAATGAAGCCAGGCACACAAAGACAGACACTGCTTGATTTCACCCACATGTGAATCTGAAGAATCCAATTTCACAGAAACAGAGAGAAGAAAGTTGGTTCTGGAGGCTGGGGCGAGGGAAGATGTTTGGTCAGAAGCATTCAGAGGCACATAGAAATTGGAGGAATAACTTCTAGTGATCTGTTGTATATTTAGTGATGTTATTAACAATTGTGTATAATTCAAAATTGCTAAAAGAGTACATTTTTAAACATTCTTAACCCTCAAAAAATAAAGTGGTGAGGTGACAGATGTGTTAATTATCTTGAAGGAATCTTTCTACAATGAAGACATGGATCAAAACATGACATTGTATCCCATACACATATGATTCTTACTTATCAATTAAAAATAAATAACATTAAAATGGGTAAGGAAAACCCTGACACGGCTCTCACTCTGGGCTGGCATATCATCTGAGGCCAACTTCACCACAAAAATGAAGAGGAACTCCAAAAAGCAACCAACCCACTTGCAATAAGCTGAGTCTGAAGAAAATGCACTGTAGTTAAGGCAAGCATCTCCATTTCTTTTTTCAAGGGCTCCCTGGGGCATGCACTGGCTTTCCAGGGGCTGCCTGCTGAGAAAGGCAAGGCAGGAAGAAACTGGAAGGGTGTGATATCACTACAGGGGTCAGGAGGAAGTGGCCAAGAAAAGAAGGGGCTCTGGAGGGAGGAGAGCTGGGCTCCAGGGCAGGCAAGTCACCTCACCCAGAGGGACTGTGTTCAGCTTCCTCCCTGGGAAGTGAAAGAATGCTTGGTCTCTGAGCTTGATCTCAGCTCAGACTATTGTGGGATAAAAATGCCTGGGGGGAAAACCCAGGCCATATCTGCCTTGCCTGATTCATCCCTCACACATATGCATTCCCCCAAAGACCTTAATGCTCAGAATGGCCCTGAATATGTGATTCTACAGTGGACCCTCGAGTTACCACTGGCCTGACATGTGAACAACTTGACCTATGACCAGAATTTTAGTTTTAACTTACGACCTAAGTTTTGAGTTACGACCCAAATGTGGGCGACTTGTACTTCCAGATGGTCTCAGATACAGATTTAACCCTTAAACAGTTCTGGAGGGAACATTACAACATCCCTTCCTCTGAGAGGTTTACTGAGAAATCCTGGGCCAACGTCTCTCTAGGGACACTGAGATCTCTGCCTGTATACAGGAGAGAGACTTTGAAGGGTGTGTAGAGGAGCCTGAGCCTTCAATTGACCAACTTGAGTTACAACCAGCCCTCACAAGAACAAACTGAGTTTGTAAGTCAAGGCTCCAGTGTACTTCCCCAACTCCAAAACCAAGGGCAAGGAAAGGGTACTGATCTCTATACTTGCCATGCCTCCTGGTCATGTTCAAGTGAGATCCCAGAAATGAAAGCATCCAGCCAGGAGGCTTATTTTTATAGTGATTTGATCTCTCTGGTTCTTATTAACATCAAAAGGCCTGACTGGAGCAAAATTTCATGAACCAAAGGTACTCGAGGACCACAAAGTCCCAGCTCTGGATTCTGGCTCAAAATCTGAGCCGAGTTCACTGCTAGGTCTCCATTTTATAAAGGGTCTCCACCATGTATTCACCATCACATCGTTGTGGGACTCTACTGAGGTGCACTCCATGACTCTCACTTCTTTGCCTAAAACCCACTAAGGGGTAGTGTTTACATTGTGTGTGTGTGTGTAAACATCCAGGCACTTTTTTGTCCATATTATACTTCAATTAATTTTAACAAAACACCCTCCAGTAATTTAAGATCAAACCCAACCTCCCTCCCGTGCCCCACAAAAGCCTCTATAACCTCTGACTACTTCTGAGGAGGACCTCATGTGACACCCTCATGGGTCTCACCTGGCTTGCACACTGACCTCCTTTCTGTTCCTCCACATGTTCCCACCAGGGTCCCCACTGTATCTGCCCCACACAGCACCTGCAGCTCCCTCAACACTCACTTCCATTAATCCCCTGAGAACTCCCAGTCTAAATCTGGTTCCAGGTTATTCTCTCATATTTATCACAAATGGGAATGGTGTGGTTATCTGTGGGTTTCTTTACTTTCTGCATCTTTCCATGAAAATAGGAATTGGGCCTGCATCGTTCCTCTATCTACTTCCTGTTCATAGTAATGAGTGGTGTGTGGATAGTGTTCAAAAATACCTATTGAGTCAGTCTGTGCCCTTTGTCAACAAGGGTCTGTGCCTCAGTTTCTTGGCCTGTAAGATGAGCACCACCTCTGTATCAGGGGTGCATGGAACAGTTGCTGAGAGGACTAATAAGGACATTTTTTCTCTCTTTGGTTCCCAAATTAAATTAATTACATCTTCATTTAGGACTAAATAGTGAAAGATTAAGAACTGCCCACCATTAGCCACTGGGAGAGAAAACATTTCTCCTGGAAGTCACTCTTCAGGCTGACCCATCTGGGTTCCTTTATGTGATCTTCAAAGGCCTTTATTTTTCAGTCCTGAAATCTAGGGACTGGAACTGGGATTCTAAGATGGTTCCAATACTTCCTCCTACTATTTTATTTCAAGATCTCTGTTTTACAAATTTTAGACGTGGGAGGGCTGCTTGTGTATATAAAAAATAAGATGTCAAAACAGTTTACCTATGATGTTCACCGTACTATCCACTTCATTTTTTATAGCTGAAGTCAGGACCGCATACTCAGGAGAAAGATCACTTACTCCATTACTAAGCCCCAAAGATGACTCAATTGGTTCTTGCTAGGAAGAAGAAAAGAAAAAAGCATTGAGAACACTTTCTTCCCCTTCCTTTTTCTTAGCTTAAATTCTACCCTTTGTCTAATTTCTATAACAATAGGATGATTCATGTTTGTCTTTAAATTAGCATTAAGTTAAAGCAGCTGAGAGTGTGCTGCTGGATATTTGGTTTCATTCATTTTCCTTCAAGGAAAAGATACCAGCCCATCTGGCTTGCCTTTAGGAAATGGTTACAGCTGCACACAATAGCTCTGGGGGTAAGCAAAGTCACAGAACTAATCCTTGCACTCCAAGATTTCAAGTCTTCCTTCCTTCTCTGAGGGAGAGCTTGGAAGGGTCAACTCCTGGCCTCTTCTCTAAGCCAGGAATCATACCACTACTTCTGCAATTACTTCTTAGAAAAAAACTCTACCTCAACAACTGATCCAAGAACAAGAACCTAGTGGAAGGTGTGGATGGATTCTCTTCAGATTTAGTTTGCTGTGGGCTTGGGCTCCTTGACCATTCTGCACCAGGCAGCTGGCTGGTAACCTGGACCATACTTCCTCTCTCTGGCCCAAGTCCAGGTATCCAGGCCCATGACTTCCCATCAATGTCGTGTGAGTGCCCAAATATCCCACCCAGCCCAAGAGGCTACACATTCTTTGTACTGAAGTGAGAATAAGTTCTTTTCCTATTACAGCTCTGAATGTCTACTTCATTCAAGTGCACTTGAACTTTCCACTCCCACGGTACTGGCCGGCTTCCAGAAAGCCAGTCCTTAGCCACATATTCACTTTCAGCATTTTGAGGAGAGAATTTTCTCAAGGTAAGATTACATTTGCTTCAAAGATAGTGATAAGCCAGACAAAAGCCACACAGGACAATTCCTGAAGAATCCAAGACAAAGGAGGGTGGGGGAGGAGAAGGAACACAGAACTGGGAGCTGAGGATCATGGCGGTAGAGCAGACCATGCTTTGAAAAGTCAAGAGTAGTGGGCAATCTAAGGCATGGTAAGTATTCTTATCTATTTATGCACTGCTTGGAATCAATGGTAAGCCTCCAAATCTTACAGAAGTTTCCTTACTCAGTTAAAAAATAAATATATCACACACTGCATGGCTTACCAGATGTACCAAAGGTTAAACTTCAGGAAAGGCCCAGAACAACCCCACTGGACAGAAGTTTTCCCTTTTTCCTCTAGTACATTTGTACATTAATATCTTGTACATTTCTTTCTTTTCTAAGTCCCAAATGAGAAATCTGACCTTTCTAGAAAAACACTCACTCGCCTATGGCCTGAGTTGTGAGTTTTTCTCTTCCTTTATAACCAAACTTCAGAAGAAATGTCTGCCTTTCTAACTTTACCTCCCCACCTGCACCCTCGTAAGTACTCATAGTTTCTCTTCCCCTTCATAAGCTCCCAGAAGGGTGGTAAGAACATGGGTTGTGGAATCAGCCAGAGCAGGTCACAAAGCCTGGCTCCTCCACTTCTGAACAGGTACAGGACTTTATTTAGCCTCTTTAAGTCTCTCTTAGGGCATTGTAGACAGTTTTAAACTGAGGGTAATAACAGGTTCCATGACACAGGGATGTTGTAAAGATTAAATTAAAAAATATGTACAAAGGCACTTATTATATAAATATTCTCTACTATCCAAAGTCATCAATACAAATCTCTCTTCCCAAACCCAGTGACCTTTTCTCACGTCCTTTTCCCTAGACCCCATACTCTGACATCCGACAGGAATGACCAAATACTCCCTTTTTGACAGTTCTGAACTATTTGACACTGCTATGATTCCCTACTTCTGTGATGGCACATTCCTCCCTTGATGGCTTCCTCAAAGGCCCTTTTTCTGTCTCCCCCTCCCCAATCATGGCCCACATTTCATTATTCCACTGTTACTTCCTCAACTGCCTCAAAAAACTAATATAAGTATCTTATGAAATTACAGAAAGAGCTGCTAATTTTTTATGAGCTCCTTTTGCTACCTTAAATCAGTTTTTAACTCAGTTTCTCCATTTCTTATCAAAGCAATGAGGGAGATTTGTATATATATATACTATATATAATATATATACTATATATACTATATATACTATATATACTATATATATATACAAATTAAATTATTCTGACTTCCCAAATGAAGACCTCTAAGTGTTTCACATGATCTACAGTTTAATTAGTGGCAAATGATACTTTTATCACTTTTCACTTGAGAAAATCATGATTCAGAGACTAAATTAATTTTCCAAGATCACACTACTTTTAGTCTGGTAAGATACAGGAACTGAACGCAGTCTTTAGTCACACAGTGGGGTTCAGTTCTAGGAGCTCTTGGTCTTAATAAAACCTGTATCCTGTACGCATTCCAATGGAGCCCGGGACAGAACTATTTGGGTCATTATTTTACTCCCCCAATCCCTGCCTTGTATTCTGTCTATTTCTATAGTAGCCAATGGAGATGTCTATCTAACCAACGGCTATTTCCACAGTACCAATGGAGATGGACTGTTTCAAACCTTCTTTTACTCCTCCAACCTCCACTTCAAAATATACTGTCAGTTTCAAAGTCTTCAGTCCAAAACATCTCATTTGTACAACCACTCTGGAAGGGCAAGACAGTAAACTCTATATGAAAATGTAGTCAGCCCTTCCCTGAAAGGTCTCCATCCAGGGCGAAGGATGATAGGCCCATGAGAGAAAGGCCTGCGTTAAACTGAGTCAACATTTTTAAGATAATCAGAAATAGGGCTATCTATATCTAAATTGTATTTAAAAATCCAAGGACCCCAAATTAAGAAAAGAGATGTACAGTTCTCTATGTGACATGTGCATGGAGATAGTGCAGGTCATGAATGGCCTTTGCCTGCAGCCTGTTCTGGTCCTCTCTGGTGCCCTCCTACTGCCCATCTCAACTCTACCTCCCTCTGCTGCTCCATAACCTGGCATGCTTCATGCTGAGTCAGCCTCCTCTTTCTGTTCCCTTCCTTAATTTAGATATAGGTTCTCTTGTACACCAAGGAGCCTGTAGCTGTCTTCATTCCTAATCCTCTTGCCTTGCTCCAAAGCAAATCAAATAGATCATGCTTGGTCCAGATACCTATGTGGTACATGTATTCTGTCAAGTATTTACAGTAATTACTTTTTTTTTTTTTTTTTTTGCGACAAGGTCAGTCTCACTGTGTAGTTCAGGCTGGCCTTCAATTCACTATGTTTCCCAGGCTGGCCTCAAACTCACGGCAATCTTGCCTCACCCTCCTAAGTGCTGACGTTACAGGCATGTACCACCACACCCAGCTCTGCCAAGTATTTAGGCCCAAGAAAATATTCTGTAATTTTAAATCTAAGGTTTGGTCTACAATTTAAGCAAAAGCAAATCTGCACCAAAGAGAGTTCAAGAGCAAGGGTGGCCTTTTAAACCTATAAAATAATCTGCCATTGGTTGGTCTCAAGGCAAGTCCTGCTAAATGGGCTTGGGGTAAACCTAAGTTAAAGGACAGCAGATGGCTCTCCTGGACAGTTTCTCAACTCTGTTCCAAGTGCACTCAGTCTCATCCCCATGTCAGAAGCCCTTGACTAAATCTTCCCTCCCCAGTGTAATGGCCATAAGGTCATTTCCCTCCCCCAACCCATTTTCCACCCCTCTGTCCTAATTATCTGCACAGAGCTAGTCTCCTTGAAGCCAATTTAAAGACAAAAAGTTTAAGGGCCTTTCCAGGTCTCTCTGATAACAAAAATCTCAGGCTGACAGCTGAGCTTTCTAAAGTAGGCCATGGAATTGGACCAGGGTGGAGGGATATACCATACCACATCGGCCACAATCCCACAGGGAACAAAAGCTCTGTACAAGACAGACCAGAGTCATGTGCCTAGTCCTTCTCTTCTTCCCTGGAATGGTGCCAGGTCACTCCTCCTCTCTTCCTTTTCTCCTTGCAACTTCCCCTTTTGACTTCTCTCCTTATTTCACTCTTCCCTCCTTCTCCTTCCTTGGATCTCTCTTCATCTGAAAGAGCTTCCTTTGGAGAAGGCATCTCTGCAAAGACTACATGGTTGCAATGTGTGCAAATGTCATTCTGGAGTAAAGGACCACACATCTGCACATCCAACACTTACCAGAGCTACAGCCTGTTAGAGTCAACTTTCTCCCTGACGTTTGCCTTACAGTGCTCTCTGCCATTTCACATTCAACATGCTCAAAGTTAAACTTGTCCACTTCTCCACAAATGAGCACTATTCCCAACCTTCCCTCTCTGGAGCCTCCTTCTTAATCCACTCCTGCCTTCATGCTCCATATCCTCTTCCAGGTTATGGAGAAACATCTTCTCCTCTTCATTCCAACAGCCACCATCTTTGTCCACACTTGCTGCTACAGACTCTCTTCCTCTCCATGCCTTCCAATCTCCACCAGGAAGAACTTTCATCATGCTCTGAAAATCTGTTCCAAGGAGAGTTCAACTGTGCCTTCTTTCATTAAATCATCTTTAGATAAGAGAACCAGCTCTCAAACTGCTCTGAGCAGTCCCCTCAAGAGCTGGAGACAGGCAGGGACCAAAGCAGGCAGGCTAAACCTGATAATCTGTTTCACCCAGGGAAGCTCTGCCTTTATCTGTTTTTCAAGTTTTCAAGCTGGCTGGATTTTCATCTGACTAAAATTTAAAAGCTGCAGACCTCTTCCAACCAAGGAAGGGATCAACACAGTAACAGCTTCTACAAGTGGCTATCTGTCTGAATGGTGACAGAGAGCACATTGCGTTTTATTCAATCCAGCTCATGTTGCTGTTAGAGCCACAGTTCTACAAGAAAGTTCTGCTGAACCAGTATCTGTTTTTCTGTAACTTCTACCCATGGGTCTATATTCACAACTAACACAGGCCAGGCTGACTTTTCATCAAGTGACTTTAGGGTAAGGGCCCTCTAATTGTAATTCCATCATAACATGAATGCTTTGATCGGGAAGCACTTTATAATTTTGGAGAATGTGCTTTCAATCTGCAAACAACCTTTCAGGCAGGAAGTATTCATTCATATTCACCCTCCCTGCAGGTCTTTATTACCCATTGTTTTTTCACACAAACTGCTGTTCCAATTAAGCCATCTTCCTGACTTGTCCATGGAAGACCAAACAACAACTCTAATCTCTCAGCCTTCATTCACTCATGAAGCTACAAGTGCTAGGGAACAACCACCATTTTATCCCATCCACCCCCTCAACCTGGCTCAGCTCTTACAGCTTCCGGTGGGCTGAGAGGCACTGGTGAGGGGAAGGAGCATGGGTCTTGGAGTTGACTAACATGAATTCCCAGCTCCATAAAGCAGTACAACTTTGGGGAAAGGACTAAACCTCTCTGTGCCCCTACTTCCTTACTAGGTAAAAGGGAGCTAACATGTTCACCACCAGGAAAACCAAGAGAAGCAATAATTACCACTTGGAGGGGCTCAAAATTATCCACTAATACCCTTCTATTCTGCCTACTTTTATTCCTTAACTTCTTAGCCTTGTCTGAATCCCCACAGAGCATTTTGTTTCATATTTTTAAAAATACATACTAGTGTTTTTACGATGATGTACAATCTAGTACTGCTCACTACTGTTTTCCTTGTTTTATTTTCCTTAACAGCTAGCTTCATTCACACAGGTGGGGCCTAGTTCAGGTAAAATATGGTTACTGAGCCAGACTCACAACACCAGAGAATGTGGAAGCACCATTTCCAAGTTACCACATGGCCATGAGCCCCGGGAAAACTATTTTCTGGGGCAACAGAGAACCCAGACACAAACTATCTGAGTGACCCAGGGAAAGTTCTGCGACCTGACCAACATGTTCTAAACACGGTTTGCTGCTTAAAACTTCAATCCAACTCAAACTGAAGGTTGAGAAGAGCTTGCCTTAATAGCAAGTGTCCATACCTAGTTGCTACACCAGGTTTGCACCAACAAATTTTCTGAGTAGAAGAAATCTACTATTCAGTTGTATATTTGCACATGGCATATAAACTTGGAGATTAGGTGTTTCGATTTATAGCAAGAATCCATGATTATAAAATTCCAGACGACCTGGAAAAAGAACTTTGGAAATATTCTACATGTATGTTAAGTTAACACATGGGCCTTACTTGCCATGAATCACAGAACTTGGGAAGCCTGCTGGCCTCTTCCATGTTCTGCAGCTGTACTGTAAGATACATGCAAGTAGATTTACATTCAAAAGTTATGCCGTGCTTACAGCTGATGAATTATCTGATGAATGAATTCTGCTGAAGGAACAATGTCCCTCAAGGCACACATTTTAGGTATTAAGGATATCTTTGTTACACAAGGATTTTGTGATATACATTGTGCTTGCTGAGGGGGAACCTCACCCACATACAAGACTGTACCTAAGGCAACCTTACTCCTTGGGCACATCCAGGGCTATGCCTTCCACAACATGCTCATGTTAGTGGCCATGTGGGAGATACTGCAAGGCCAATGTGTTTACTTATGAGAACACCTCATAGCCTTCATTTAAGGCTGCACATTTCCACACACCTGAAGTAGGTACATGCCACCAACTCTGTGCCATCCTTTCATTGAAAGCAGTTTTTCTTTCTTAGGGATACATAAAATAATGGAACATTTTACTATAATTGGCATCTGACATTCAATGGGTTATGGTGGGTATATTTGGATGAAATGCATCAAAAAGTGAACATGTTACTCCATTCTTATTTCTTTACCAACTGCAATTATGAAATTCTGCATCCTCCTTCTCACCTCACTTATCTTATTTATTTATTCAAAAAGTGCTTATGTACCCACTCATTTATTAAATATGTACAGCTTATTTGTTCTGTGCCAGGCACTGGGCTAGATGCTGTGAAAATAGTAGTAAATATGAACAGTCACACTTAAGAAGGTAGTAAGTTCTTCAAAATTATGTATTTGTAGGAAAATTATATATTTCTGACTAAAAAACACTAATCAAAATGTAGGCCTTAAAAATACTCATTGTCAGTAACTATACATAGCTAACAACTAGTTGTTTTTTTTTCACTTCCAATGAAAAATATATTTTTTAAAAAGTGATGTAGGAAAACCTATAGTTAAAAAAAAAACCTTTAATATCCAAAAATCACATGTAGTCTGTATAAAAGTTATAATAAATTTATGAGACAACTAGAATCCTAAACAGTAGCTAGATATTTGATAATAATGAGAAATTAGTGTCACTTATTCAATGTTTCCAGCTACAATAATGATATGATGGGGTTTTTTCTGGTTTTTTGAGACAGAGTCTCAGTTCAGGCTGGCCTCTTGCCTCAGCCTTCTGGTGCTAGGATTACAGGGGTGCCCCACCACATCCACCCATACTACAGCATTTTAAATGAGCATTTATCTTTTAAAGGTATATACTAAAATATTTATGAAATAAATAATAAAATGTTTGGAATTTCTTTCAAAATATTAAGCTAAACAAAAAGAAATTATTTTTGTAGGTCAAAATGGATTGAATAGCTATGATTTCATACTGAAAGTTGGGAAGTGGGTAGAAGTACAAATGAAACAAAATTGGCCAGAAGCTGATTAATGTCGAAATTGGGGTGATAGTCTATGAGTAAATTTTGCTCATCAGTTTCCTTACTCTGTGTGCAGAGTTGTTCCACAATAAAAAGTTAAAAAAAAAATTAGGCCTTAACACTATGGTATATTTAAAATAAGACAGAAGCTAAAAACAGTGAAAATGAAACTGGAAGTAACACTGTTAAAATACTCTGTCTAAAATATTTATTTTCCATGTTTGAGGTAAGCATCTTGGAAACTTGATTGTCTCAAGATTTCCTTCAAAATCTAACTGCAGTCAGCCCTCTGTAGCCACAAGTTTTGCATCCATGAATTCAATCAATAGCAGATTGATAATATTAAAAAAAAATGGTTTCTGTACTGAACATGTATCGTTTTTTCCTTGTCATTATTCCCTAAACAATAAAGAATAACTATTTATGTACTACTTACATTATATTAGGTACTATAAGTAATCTAGTGATGATACAACGTATACAACAGGATGTGTGTAGGTCACAAGTAATATAGCATGTTATATAAAGGACCTGAGCATCTGCCAACTTTGGTATCCATGGAGTGTGCTGGGACCACTATTCATGGATACTAAGGAATGACCTTTACTTTCACAAGTCTGACTATATTATCGGAAATAAATTATTTTGATTTTTTTCTGACAATTTTAACTTACTGACTTGGTTTTAAATATCATGCTATCTGGGCAGTTAAGAGTTTTTACTTCAACAGTTATTTTAGATTAAAAATCAGAATATGTTAGCATCTCCTTCAAGGTCAGTTCTAAATAACTACATGATCTGGGACACATGCCACTTAATCCATGGGCTCACTTCTGCAAGTGGAAGCCAGTGAGCTAAATCATTCCTCCAGTGGTCTACAGGTCTATAATTGTAGTGTCTGCTCGCTCCCTAGTGTGACCCCAGTTGAGCATGTGAGATTTAGTTCCTCTCTCACTCCACTTTAGGGGAGTTCAGACACTCTAGCCTACTGAGAAACTCACACACACATACACACTCCTATAGAAATCCTCAAGAATTAAAAGAGATGGTTCTACAGTGGACCCATAAAAAAAACAATTGAGAACTACACTTAAGATGATTATTGTGTCCTCAAACTAATGGCTCATGATTGAATATATATGTATATATGATTGAATATATATACTATATATACTAATATATATACTATATACTATTATATATTAGCATATATATTAGTTAATAGAATAGTAATATTTAATAAATAGTAAAGAATAAATAGCTGAAAATATATTTCTTAGTATCAGAATAAGCCAGTTGTTGGAGCTTATTTGGAACAAAGTGATCAGCTGCCAAGAGTCTGTTAGAGGCTTCAGACTGTCAAGCTCCAAGTGGATTTGTGTTTTCATTCATGAGTTTCTCAGCAACATCAGATTAAGCAGAGGACATGTGTACTTGTGTCTGCAAGTGAGTGTATGCCAAAGAGGAGACACATAAAGCACATAAAGCACAATAGCCAAGAAGACTAAACATTCCACAGAGATCATATTACTTGTCTTTATGAAACAGAATATGAATCATAAATATGGTCACAACTTTGGCTCTCTCTCTCAACAACCAAAGATTACCTTGATGTGCTTAACTCTGTCTTCTTTTTCTGTCTTTGGTTTCTTTCCTGTGACAACAAAGAAGTAGTTTTTGGATTAATTCATGAAGCACAAGAGAGAAACATTTCTGCTACATTAAATTCTCTCTGAAACTCTCAATGAACCTGTTGCTTTAATTTGTATGTGATCAAAATTCCAAATATATCTTTTATGCCTTTGGGGCCTTGAAAGTCATTTTTCCAGGCTAGATAAATGCAGACCTGTCACCTATAGCCAGAACAAGTATATTATCTTTGGAATTACTGCAGATGCAGAAATAAATCATGGAGGTATGAAGGTATATATTAAGAGATCGCTATTTTAGTCAATAAAATCTTTACCTTTCTTAGAAGGTCGTTCAGATAAGGGCAACATCCGGTATACTCTAAAGGCATTGTTTCCCTTCTTTATACTTTTATCTTTAACTTCTTCGATATCAGGCAAGGAATTCATGGCACATCGAAAATTTGCCTTCCATGTTTTTGGATCAGGTTTATCTACTCCTGGTTGATGCTTCCCTAAAACAAAATAACCAAAGGTTAAGAAAAAGAGATCCACCACCTGTCTCGAAAGCACAAGGTCCCGAGTTTGATCCCTGGTACCAAAAAAGAAAGAAAAGGAGAGAAAAAATTAGACACACAGTAAAATGAAGTTTCTGAAAACACAGTATTGCCAGACAGGTTGTAAAAGAAACCTCTTCATTCCAGGCTTCACCTACAGTGACTAAACATCACCATTTACCTTGGGCTAAGACAGTTCTTAAGATGTGGGTATTTTATTTTTAAAACCTAGACACATTCAGACCAACTGGGACAAATTGGTCATCTTGGTTCTAGTAAACAGCCTGAGATAAAAGGTGGAATGGAGAATGAATGTAGATGACACTGAAGCCTGGAAGGCTGAAAGGCCAACAAACATAAGTAACTTCTGACATTCAAATATTAAGTAAAAAGTTCAGCCCTGAAAGTGGCTCACTACTTAAAAACTTGTTATAAATGTATTCTTGATTACCCTTTTGGAAAGTAAATTCAACTCAAGTTTACGGCTCCAGAACAAATGAGTTTATATTTCCCTGGAAGCCATAGAGAACTTATCAGAATACCACATTTATGGGAAAATTAAAGACTAAGATCCTATAGAATGGGTGGAACATTACTTCTGAATGATATATTTTGTATTCACGTGTTCTGGCGGGGCTTGGTGACAAGTCACAGGGTTTTCAGAACTCTCTTCATGAAGCCTCCAGCCAGGATATTTTACATGTGTAAAGAAAACAAAAATACTGCCTGGGGATTTAGCTCAGTGGTTCTGCCGCCTGCCTTGCAACCCCAAGGTTCCAGGTTTGATCCCCGGTACCAAAAAAAAAGAAAGAAAATTAAAATAAACAAGAGTGTCTGCCTCTGTAAGGAATGCAGGACATTTAATACCTGTATGGATCGCCCAGTTTCTAAAGAGTGGTGCATCCTTTTCTACATCCCACCCATGCCGAGCTGCATGCATCCAGGGGATCTGGAAAATCTTCTTTTCCTGGAGTAAGAAAAAATAAAGAAGAACTGCAGTCATCAGGTTTGGCTAACCATGGTGGAAGGATCTTGAGTTCTTGCTAGTAAGAGTCCATACTAAGCATCACTAAGTTTGTTGTATGTCTACAGTGAAATCAACTGTAAACCAAACTCCTGGCAGAGTTCTAAATCTTGACACTGCTCTGGGCAAGAGTCAGATTTGCACAGCCTGGCAGAGAAGGAACATATATATTTCAAAGTCAAATGGGAGAATTTGGAATATGCCAATGTATTGCCTTACTAGTGTCTCTCTCTTTTCAGAGAACTGTAAATAATTAACAAACAACTGAAATTTCTAATGCCTTTCACTTAACTTCTTGCCATTTGGTAAATAGTAACTCCAGTTGCCTTAGGTAAATTAAAAATCAGGCATCTTTCCAAAAGAACACACAACCCTTTGCACTGCTACAGGAAAGTCAAGTGTATCTGAGGCCACTATCACAGAAATCAAATGTTTTGATCTCTTGTGTAGTAAACAGAAAAGGAAGATTCTATCTACCCTTCTAATCCTATGGGTCTACTGTCCTACATGAAATAGCAAGAAGTAGAAATATGCAGAGTAGAAAATGATGTTAATTTTCTGGCAAAAGTCCCTCAGTACGATCCTTACATCAGACTATCTTTCTTACAGACTGAGAAGAAAACTCAAAAATTGCCTAAATGAACCCTGGCAAACTCATGATTAGAAACTAATGTTTCAGAAAAAAAGTCACATGCACAGTGAAACTCCACGTGTAAAAGCTGGGTAGCTCAGCCCTCTGACAGCCAGCAGTTACTGAGGTCCCCATGGCACTGTGCATTTGACTCCATATGTCCACATGGGGCTCAATTTTGGTTTTTGCAACTGCCTAATGAGCTAAGCCTATGTTATAATTTCCACTTTATAGTTGAGGAAACCGAGAATCGGAATCAAATTACTTAGTCAAGGGGCTTACGGTTAAAGTATCTAAGTTCAAAACCAAGATTATGTGATCCCATATTCATACCACACACTGTCTCTCAGCTTTTAGATTTAGCAGATTCCCTGTTCAAGACAAACCTGTTGACTTGGATTCTGTGGCAATTAAAGCTCAGGAAACTGACTTTTTTCAAAAGCTTTCAGGCAGTTCTAGTAATTGCTAGGTACAAAATCTCTGCACTACACACTGGGGACAGAAAGGAAATATAAGTAGGGATTTTCCATCACTTCAGTCTCACACAGTGAAATCTGAAAGGGTCCCAGATGTCCCAAAAGGGACTCAATACTCCTCCACAGAACCAGTTACAAATACTGAACTGAAAATATTTCAGAATGTTGGAGAGTTTCCCAAAAACTGTTACAAGGGAAAATTCTACCATATTTTAAAAAGTCAATTAATAAAGAAGAACTGAAAGTGAGAGACTTTTTCACAGACTCTTCTTTGTTCATTCTGGGTCACCCATAATGACAGGAGGGTTTCATCCAGGGTGAGTCAAAAGGCAGTAGATCAGAAAAAGGTCAGTGAAATTCTATTTTTTAATATCCATGAAAATCAGAGAACAAAATCTCTTATTGCAGGTTTTTTTTATGTTCACATAAAAATGAATACAAATGAAAAAGAACTGAATTCAGAGAATTTTCCTGAAATGCACACCCATAAGCTAAAGCTTTCTGCTAATGAGATACAGACCCTGAGGAAATTGTTGTATTTTTTCTAGATCAAAAGATTTCTGAGGTGACAATTTGAAGTCTATCTTGTGAAACACTAAGTTGGTAGAAGGAAGACAAATCATTTAAGTAGCTGCCCATGCTCACACAATATCAAATGTATTCCCATAGAAATCATGCAAAAATCGTGAAATTATGAAAGCAATGAGTAAAGGTAGCATTACCAACTATGAATCCTCTCAAAATAGTCAAGGGACCCAAAAAGACCTTTCTCAGAAAAAGATACACAAGAAGCACATGAAAAGAGGGTAAATGTTGCTAATCGATAAGAAACTGAAAATCAATAACTTCTTCACATCTATTGGGATGTCTGTAATTAAGAAAACAGAAATTAAAAAGTGTTATGGAGGATGTGGAGAATCTAGAATCTCATTCACTACTGGAGTGAATACAAAATCATGGAACCACTTTGGAAAACAGTTTGGACATTGCTCACAAAGTTAAACAGACAATTGTCAGGTGCTCCAGTAATTTCACTTCTGAATATATACACAAAGAATTCCAACAGGTGTTCAAACAAAATCTCACACACAATGTGCACAGCAGCAATACTAACAAAAACCCAAAGATGGAAACAACCCAAGTGTCCATTCCCTGATGAAGGGATAAACAAAACGTTGCATATGCAGGCAAGAGAATATTATTCAGCCACAAAGGAAGGAGTGAAGTGTCAATGCACGCTAACACAGGGATGAACCTTTAAAACATGATGCTGAGAGAAAGAAGCCAAACACAAAAGGACAAATACTGAATAAGCTCATTTATATGAAAAATCCAGAAAAAATCTAGAGACAAAAAAGTACCTCGATGGTTACCATAAATTAGGGGAGAAAGAAACAGGCAGGGATTGTTTAATGGACATGGCATTTCCTTTTTGCAGGACAGAAAAAGTTCTGAAACTAGATGGTAGTGATGGCAGCACAACACTATGAATGCACTTAGTGTTACTGAACTGTACATTTTTAAATAATTCAAATGACAAAAAATATTTTAAGCTACATATAAATGTTAAGTAGTTTTTTCATACTGCAGAAAAAACTGCTAAGTAAATGTATCACAGACATCTGTTTTTTAAAATATTTTTAAAGGTAAAAGGTGAGGTTCATTTTTAAACTTAAAGAGATGTTCATGTGTAAGCATCCTCATTATAGAGCACCATGTCCTAAGGAACACTGAAGTGATGCTGGGTCTACTTAGACCCTGTGGCATCTTTAAGCACCTCAAGCCCAGCCCCAGTGACTAGTGCAGCACCTGCGGTGGCCATGCACACTGTGTATGGAGGCACTGAATGTACCAGAGTCCCCTCTGTCTGGATACATTTGCCCTCCTCTGTCCATCTGAAACAACTGAGTTTCTTTTGAGCAGCATGGACAAACATACCCGGTCCCCTGTGGAAACTAGTGCTGTTATCTCCCTCTGCCTCTCCTTTCTCCTAGTATTTTTAAGATGTTCCAGTCAGTTTGCTCTTTTTGTTTGGACTTTTTACCATGAGCAGAGGTAGCCTGATGTTCACACAAACACAAGCCCATTTGAAAGTGAAGAAAAGGGAAGGCTCCGGCCCTGCCAGACAGTCCCTATGCTTAGGGAGTGGTACAGCACATGGTCCCAACATGGAATAGGAACACTAATAACCAAGTAGGAATCACACAGAGCTAGGACAGAAATGAGGATCCCAGAGGCGGCTCCCCACTTCCTTCCTAAATAAATGGCCCAGAGAAACCACAGCAAGCACTTGGGCATATGTAGAACTAACCTGGACTTTCAACAAATCAGTGGCAAGAAGGAAAACAAAAACATAGGGGTTACTGTTCAGGATTTGGAGAAGCTTAGAGTCATAGACTTACATACAGTGGATCTTTTTCAGATTCTCATTCGAACAAATCAACAGTAAAAAGACACTTTGGGTATAACATGCACCACACTAGCAGAGAGTGACTAAAATACCACCCCCACACACACACACACAAGCACCCACAAAGATACCACAAAATATTAATAAATCTAGCAATCTATATGTAGGCATATAGGAGTTTGCTATCCTATTCATTCTCAGCATTATTTAAAACATACTAAGTACATTTGTAAATACTCCTAATAAGTAGATGCCTCAAGTCAAGGTTCCATGCATATAATGCTGCTTTGCAACTTTCCTCACTGTTCCTTTGGCAGAATCCAAATGATTCATTTCATCACCAACATTTTTCAAATTTATCAGAAGCAGGAAATGGAAACAAAATAAGGCAGTAATTAATCACCTATTTGTTTCTTACTAAGAATGTACTGAGTTGGATGGACTCTTCATTGGAGAGTGTGTGACAATAATAGCCAACCCACACCTACTACTCATAAATCTAATAATTTTAACACAAACACAAGCAATGTTTCTCCTCATAAGTACACAACCTTCATTCATGTATGTAGAACAAGCTTTACGGAGTGCCTCCTACTCACTAGCCTGTCACCAAGTGACAATCACAATGGCCATGCAATGCACATGGAGCTTTCAGCCTGGAGCATTTCACCATAAACAAGAATGCATTCTGAACACCACGTGCTATGGTTTGGATATGGCTTCAACATGTCCTCTAAGGTTTCTTTTGTCCCCAGTGTGGAGGTGTGGCAGTGGCAGAACCTTGAAGAGATGGGGTCTTAGTGGAGGATAATTAGGTCATGAGACCACTGCTCTTATAAATAGATTAACACGTCTCACAGGAGTGGATCAGATCAGGCAGGAGTGGATTAGTTCCCTCAAGATCAAGTTGTCGTAAAAAGAGCAAGCCAGGCCCTGCCCTGGTCTTTCTTCCTTGCTTACACACTTTGCTTCCTGCTTCTCTGCCATACTGTAAAGCAGCCAAGAGGGCCAGCACCAGGACATTGGCTCCATGCTGTTTGGGTGCTCTAGCCACCAGCATTGTGTACCAAACAAGCTTTATAAGTTATCAAGTCTCAGATATTTTATTATAGCAAAACAAAGTGAACTAAGACACCAGCTAAGACACAAGTAAATCATAAAGTACCAGGTATAGTGTTTGTTTTCTTAGAGTCACAACAGTCTTCAGCAGAGAAAGGAGCTCAAACCACCTAAAATATAAACAGGATTCTTAGAATGGTTGTGAGTGGGAAGGAAATAACATCAGCCCTTCAGTTAAGTATTATGTGGACAGATGAATGCTAACAAACTTAAGTTAGAGGAAACCTATAAAAAGATGCTGGAAGAAGTGTATTACGGAGAGAAAACATCCTGAGCCCATGTGAGGCCTGTAGTGACAGTGGCAGCACTGCCCATGGGCACAGACATGGCCCCATGCCCTCTGTGGCTAGGCCTCAATGGGATGCCTGCCTGACAGGAACCGCAGGCCTTGGCAGCCCAGGATCTCTTGTGCCAGGGTTGACCTGAGAGGCAGCAGTGGTGGCAGCTTCTCGCACATGCTCCCCTCCCATCAGCTGGGCTCAGGTCTGCTCAGCAGAGGAGCCTTGAGGGGGCAGGAAGGTCTTTCCAGCTCCTCCTGGGAAAGAGAACTCTCACACCAAGGGCCTGAAGAATGAAGCCCAGCAGGAAGGGCCACCTGAGTAGGGATAAGTGTTCAGTTATAAAAAGAGAACTCTATTTGCCTTCTGCTCTTGGATTACAAGAAATGTACAAAGTAAATGAAAGAAAAGTGGTCTCTCTACAGAGCACCTCTAAGGAAATAACCATTAAAGTGTACAATAGCTTCCTAGGGCTACTGTGACAAATGACCACTACCTGAACATCTCTAATCAACTGAAATTTATTCTATCACAATCCTGGAAGGTGGAAATCCCAAATCAAGGTGCCAACAGAGCTGCATTCTTTTGAAAAAACTTTAGGAGAGAATCCTTCCTTGCTTCTTGCAGCTTCTGGTACCTCCAGGAGTTCCTGGCTGGTGGCTGCATCACACCAATCTCCACCTGTCTTCACTGGCTTCTTTACATGTGCCTTCTCTTCTGACTCTCAGAAAGATGCCTGTCACTGGATTTAGGGTCCAACTAGATAATCCAGGATGATCACATCATAAAGTCCTACACTGCAACTACAAAAACCCCTTTTCCATGTAAGATCATGTTCACAGTTGGTTAGGATATGGACGTACCTTTGGGGAGACCACTACTCAACCTGCTGTAGAAGACAACTAACACAGCATTGGGGAGGCATAATGATACTGTGTTCTCCATGTTCAGTTGTGTTTTAGAAAAAGCAAAAGCAGTAACAGACAACTTGCGTTTCTTCAGAATCCAGGAACTTGTTTTAATCTCACATTCTACATCAAATTAGGTAATACTGTCTTGTTCTTCAAAATGGAATCCCATAGTGGGGGTTACAAAAACTAATGCATATACCTTGCTTAAAAGAGTGCATGGCACATCGTCTTGAAGAAATGTTGGCTCTTATCATCATTGTCGTCGTCATCATCATCATCAACTACACTATGTCTCTTCAACTCCACTTCCCTACCAACCCCCTTTCCCTATACCTCCTAACTAAACAGGCAAAAGACAACCTGATTTCTTATTTGTTTTTTGGGAAAAGATTAATTACTTATCTGAATCTAAAACACTATAGATACAGCAAGCCTAAAATATATACTGTGAAATAAAGATGTACTCGGTGGTACAACATTTATCTAGCTTGTGCCCAGTCCTGGATTTGGTCCTTAGCACCACAAAAAAAAAAATTTTTTTTTTGCATAATACTGAAGGTACACAACAGGATACATGAAATAACTACATGGTTTATTTCTATTTACTCTATACTCACATTGTTTCAGAAAGGATTCATTTCAACAGATATTCAAATACAGTAACATTAAATTTAAAACAGATGAAAGAATAAGAACAAAAAGAAATAATATTTGAGTGATATCTGAAAAGATAAAATGAAGCTAGGAGTGGTATTAATTTGAAAAAAAATGCTATAATATCATTGCTACTCGCTAGGAGCAGGCCACAATCTGCAGTCTGGCTTAAGCTCTTATACCTGGTACAGAGATAAAGCCTGACTGGCTAAATTATTCATTGTGTCCTTAAGATTTAAAAAGGAAAAGGGAGGAGAGGGGAGAAGAGTAAAAAGACATTTACTCAAAAGAACTGCAATTATTCCTGGTAGTAGGAGAGAAACTTCTCCCTTGAGCTTTCCTGAGGTAGGCATAATATATTATATTGAGTTACTTTCTAGGTTATAATTAGTTTTTCAATATTTTTTACATACATTACTTCTTTCTGAATTACCCTTAACAGCTAGGATCAACTGAATTAGAGTTTAAAGGTTAAAACAGTAATGAAGGCTGGGCATGGTAGCACACGCCTGTAATCCCAGCACTCAGGAGGCAGAGGCAGGAGGATCACTGGGAGTTCGAGGCCAGCCTGGGCTACATAATGAATTCAGGGTCAGCCTGAACTATGAAGGGAGACCCTGTCTCAAAAAAAAAAAAAAACGGGCCAGGAATTTAGCTCAATGCTTCCATTGCCTGCCTCCCAAGCACAAGGTCCAGAGTTCAAAAACAAAAATCCCCAAGAAACCAAAACCAAAACAAGACAATAAAGAAGTAGTGGGGGAGAAGGAGAGTTGTAAATGACAAACAACTACATTTTTAGGACACATGGGCATAAAAACCAGGTTATATTTAAAGATAAAACACATTTTTTAAAAAGAGAAAAACCAAAATTCTTTACATAGAGGGTGCTAAAAAGAAACCAAAATGCCCCATTCCCGATATAAAACTATGGAGTTTTGATGTCTTTAATCCTAGAAAGCCAGCAATAACAAAAGAGAAATATGGAGAAGGAAGAGGTTCCCTAAAGAAAACCACAGCAAGGAGCTTCCCATAAAGTCATCCAAAAGACCAAAGGAGAGCTGCTATGGGAACTCAAGATTTAGGTGACAGTCGGAGAAGATGGAACCTCTGTTATGATAACTCAATGATTTATAATCATTGTTGGTTGGTTCTTGTAATGAATAAGTCTAAGATTTTGAACACAAAAATCAACTTTGCTTTCGGTGGTCCATGTGAGCCTGCTTTCAGCAAGAACTCTCTCTCCCATGTACACATGCACGATTTTACATGCCAAATACACTTACCTTGTTAAGCCACTTTAACCCTGGTATTGTATTTGAATTTATCTGTTCCTCCAGCCAGGGGCGCATTCGCATCCTTTCCACCGGCATGGTTTCCTTATGCAGAAGGGAAACACAACATTAGACATTTCTTCTACTGACTCTTCCATCTGCACTTCAAAGTTCTATACCCCTGCTTGAGCCTTTCCTATTTCCCCTTTCCTTGGGGCTGGGGGTGCTGGATGAGTGTATTCAGGAGTGATACTCTCCAGCTACCTGTCCTTGCTTACCCATCCTGCTCATCCTGTCTTGGTGGAGCAACGGAATGAACCAGGTCTGCCATTCTCTGGGCAAGCTCTCAGCTGCAGGGGACTATGGGCATGGTAGGCCTGGTCTGGCAGACACCCAGGTATCTAGAGAGCCCAGATATCACCGATGATGCTGCCTTAGGCTAAGCCTTACCTCCTCTCCTACCCTGGCTGTGTTCATAGCAGAAACTTTGAATATATCAGGCATTTTGAGGACCATTCTAAGGTATCTTACAATACCTTCAGGTATTATCCTCCTGAAAGCCAAGGATGGCCAGAGCAAAACAGTTTTGCAGTGAAGAATTATGATAACCCAATTGCTTCCTTTGGGTATCTGTGTTATATAAATGCTTGGAACTCCCAATAGTGGCATTTAAAGCTGCATAACAGAATCAGTTTTCAGAGTTCACCAACATCATATCCTTTATTCATCTTTGCTCTGCTTTTACCTTAATGTGATGTCTTATTTGCTCCCTCAAGCATCTTTCTTCAATACCTTCTTCCCCTCTGACCTGACAGTGTCTCTTTTTCCTTTAACTTACTTTGCCTTAGGAAATTGTTCCACAACCTAACCAGCTTTCCTCCACCAGCCCACACAGTGCCTGTCCCTGCTCCTCCCAGGTTTCTTTCTAGGAGTCTTTCCCGTTTCCACCAAAATACAGCCAGAGAGGAACCACTAATAATGCATTTCCCTAACTGTCTACCACTCCTTTTCTATTTACTTATGCCTACATTTCCACTTTATTTGGGATCTAAAAGCAAAGACACTAGCTCAAGACTACAGGACTTCATGGACCATGCTGATATTATAAGCCTCTTTTCAACCCTTAGCTATCTCTTGGTTCTGTAACTCGTTTCCTCCCAAAATGAGCTCTGAAAATTCCATCCAGGTGCCTATTAGCTGAGATGATCAATGTCTCAGAACTCTCTTTTCTAGCCTAATGACTTTTCTCCTCTGCACCCGGCCCCCAGTTATTCCCAGAGGATAAGCTTCATTACAGGAACCATGAGGGGCCTCACTTTTGCCTGCAGGAGCCCCCTGCCTTTTCCCTGTACCCCTCACAGCCCCAGGTCACTCACTGGTCCAGAAACCTCCTGTTCCTTGCTCCTTCCAAGTTCTTTGTTCCTCTTTCCCTGGCTTTTCCAATTCTTATCCATCCCCTAGAGACCCAGCCTCCACCCTCATTCTCCACCAGACCTTCCCAGACCACTCCAGCCTGAAGTGATCTCTCCCCCTCCAACTCCTACCACACACAGATCTAACACTGCTCATCTGAAAGTCATACATTGTTTTTGGGCAGCCACTGTAAGTAGGGACTTTAAACTGACCTATCACCTTATCCCTAAACTTTTCAGCTTTGTACACCCTCTCTTCCTAACAATTATGACAATTTTTGGTTTTGTTTTATTTTTGCAGTGCTGAGGGATGGAACCTTGGGCCTTGTGCAAGTTAGGCAAGTGTACCTCCAGTCTTGTAAATTCTTTGAGAATAGGAGCTTTTCTTCTTATAAATCTATAAAGCCCAGGTGCAGCCTTCTTCACAGGAAATGTTCAATACAATGACTGGGCCAAAATTAAAGTTCAGTCTCAATGGGCGCCACTGGAGGATGGCCTGTCCACACATCTGCAAGCTCCAGGCCACCCTTCTTTGAGACATAAGCAGAAACCCTATAGACATCACAAAAGGACATGGAAAGGCCACTTGGAATCCTCAATGCACCTACTCTCGATGGGTCTGAAGTTGTTCTATTCATTCATTCATCTACCCATTCAATGATGATGGATTGAGAATGAGGTTCCAAGAACTGAAAACAGTAAGACATTCTCTGCCACCTTGACTCCCAGTCAATCGGGATGCAAGAAAGAAAAGAATTATCAATATGAAAGGTCCCATGTACAATACAGTAAAGAGTTACAGTGAGGAATTACAGAAGAACTCTGGGAGCACACTGGGTGACCACTGCAAGGGCTCTGCCCTCCAGGGAGGTGACCACCAACCCAGTGGGATCCTCCCTTGGAAGAAGATCTGAAGACATAGAGTGGAACAAGGGGAGAGCAGAAGTAGGGGTAATGACAGTAGTTACAAGGTGACAGCAACAGACTCCAGTCCGTCTGAGGGGACAATGTAACATGCACAGTTACTGCTATTGTACATAACCTCAGTGATATGGAAACACAAGAGGGAAATGTGAATGGCCCAGCTTTCAATTTGGAATTGTAATAATATATTTCTTCCCAAATTTTTTTTCACAAATAACTCAATTGGGAAAAAAAATGATCACCTGAAATATTTCAGAAAGCTTTCCATCATTAAAACTAAAGCCTTTGAGGGAGATACTGATGAACTACATAATTTCCAAATTCTGTAAATATTAATTTGCCTACTCACTAAAACTTATTTGTGACCACAAAATCAGTAACCCACGGTGATCTTGTGGCCATAGCAGATAAACAGAGAGAAAAACATGCGAGTCATCCAACATGCACATTCCCAGCCAAGGTCAAACAAGGCAACACTACCTTCCCGTTTCTGCTCGCCTATTGCAAATAAATGTTTTTTTCAAGGTCTATTTAGTGACATTTTCCACACTTTTGTACTTTCAGTTGGTCATTTTGCCATTTAAGATGGTCCCTGAGAGCGGTGCTGAAGTGCTGTGCAGTATCCCTCTGCACACGAAGGCTGTGATGCCATATGGAGAAGAAATGTAGTGGATAGATAAGCTTCACTCAGGCCTGAGTTATAGAGCTATGGACAGAGGCTGTGATTTCAATAATCAACTAATAATGTGTATTAAATAAGGTGTCTTTAAATGGAAAAGCCACAGAACAAGATTATATAGTGATCAGTTGATAAAATCTGATCAGAGGCTCCAAGGAACTTGATATCCTTATTAAGAGGGAAAGTCTGGCATAGTGGTTCACACCTATAACCCCAGTGTTCTAACAGGCTGAGGGAGGAGGATTGCAAATTCAATCCCAGCCTGGGCAAATTAGCATACTTAGCAAAGTCCTGCCTCAAAATGTAAAACATTAAAAAGGACTAGGGATGTAGCACAGTGTGGAAGCCCTGGGTTCAATCCCCAGATCCTCAGTACCAAAAAAAAGAGGGGGTGGGAGACCATGGACCCTTACACACACACACACACAAATGGCACATGAAGACACAAACACAGAGGGCAAATGGCTATGTGAAGACAGAGTCAGAGTCTAGAATGAAGCTGCCACAAGCCAAGGAATGCCTAGAGCTCCCCAAAGCTGGTAGACATGGGACAGATTCTCCCCTGGAACCTGAAGAGGTAGCTTATAGACAGCCTGCTGCCACCTTGATTTTAGACTTCTAGCCTCCTGACCTGTTACAGAATAGATTTCTGTTGTGTTAAGCCACACTGTGATACTTTGTTATGACAGCACTAAGAACTCATACAAGTGAGAGACAAAGCAAAGGCATTGGCACAGGAGGACCAGCTCCTGGAGGCAGTCAGCACCAGGGAGAAGCCAGGGCCAGAGACCAGGCTAGCCCTGAAGGCTCTGGAAATGGCACCTAAAATTTTAGTCAACATCTTAAGACTGAAAGCTAAAGGATTTAAGTGAATGATAAGGGCAATTCTCTCAGTGGTAAAGCTAAGACCTGATTGTGACATCAGAGAGGGCTTCATCAATCTTAATGTGCATACAAATCTCAATTCAGTAGTTCTCCCAAGACCTGTGACTCTACCTTCTAACAAGCTCCTAGGTCCATGGACCACAGAGTAAAAAGCACAAACATAGATTCTCCTTAATTTTTGCATATAAATTGAGTGGATAATCTGTGATTTCCTATATAAAATCCAGTCATTCTAGTCAACAGATCTTCTCACTCTATCATCATCTTACTGTTGATCCATTATTTATTTGCATGCCAGGATACATTTCAACAAAATGCAAAATGTATCTCTTCCCTTGCCAAAATGCCACAGTGTTAAAGTTGGATATGGTTTGCTCCCAAATGTTGATACACTAGAAATTTGGTCCTAATATAGTAGCGTTGAGATTCTGGAACCTTTAAGAGGTGGGGCTTGCTGTAAAATATTTAGGCTACTGGTAGCTCTACCTTCATAAATGGACTAATGCTATCTCTTGGTAGTGGGTCAGGATTAGATTAGTTCTTGTGAGAATTAATTATTATAAACAAGTCTGGCTTCTCCCCTGAATCCCTTTCCTGTACTCATTCCTGGCACTGTGATGTCATCTACCATGTGGTCTTCACCAGAGCCAAGCAGGCATTGTAGCTATGTCCTTGAACCTCCAGAACTGTGAGCTAAATAAACCCCTTACCTTTTAAACTGTCAACCCCAGGTATTCTGTTAGAGTAACACAAAATGGACTAAGACATATGGAAACCATACATGTAAAAAAATTTTTAAAAACTTATTTTTATGGTTTTTGTTTCTCATTTTATCCAACATGTATATGAAATAATCATACACTAGACATGAAAGATCTGGAATTCATTCATTTTTCTCTCTTCCTTGAAGAGCTATTTAAACCTATATCCTAACAGATATGCCCTATGCATAACATCAAAAAAAAAAAACTGATGAAATTGTCCCTGGTAATACAATCTCCTATAAAAATGTTAAAATTTTCTAGTTGCACAATTTATGTAAGGATTATATCATCATCATCATCATCATCATCATCATCATCATCATCATCATCATCATCATCATCATCGTCATGCAAATGTTTCCTCCAACTCCAGTCCTAATACCAGGTCAATCTTCTGAGAAGATGTCACAGTTGTGAGATGATATACTCTACCACACCATA